GCCCGCCCTTCGGAGAGCGGCCCGGGGCACCAAGGGGTCCGCGTCGCGCCGCACCGAGCCGGGCGCCGCCGCCCTGGCCGCCATGTGCTCCCAGCTCTGGTTCCTGACCGACAGGCGCATCCGCGAGGACTACCCGCAGGTGCAGATCCTGCGCGCCCTCCGGCAGCGCTGCTCCGAGCAGGACGTGCGCTTCCGGGCGGTGCTCATGGACCAGATCGCCGTCACCGTCGTCGGCGGCCACCTCGGTGAGCGAGGCGGGCCCGGGGAGGGCCGGGAGGCGCGCTGGGGTCCCTGAGAGCCGCCTAGGTGGGTTCGCTCACCCGAGCCTCCCCCAACCAAGTCTGCTTCGACCCCGAAAACCAGAGTCTCTCCCTCTGCAAGAGCTCTTGGGATTGGGAAAAGCCCCTCACCTTGAGAGCTTACTCCCACCGTCGTCCTCTTGCCCAGAGGCCAACATTAGAGAACGTGATTTAATTTACTCGGGGGACTTAGTTTGGCGAGGAACCCAAATTCACCTGAAGCCGAGCTCGGTTGTCCGAGGAAGATAAGCACAAATTTGCAAATTCTGCTTGCATCCATACCCTGTTTGTTGAGACTCTGAGGTTTCTAGAAACCCACTTTAAATTTTGCAAAATTGCAATTAAGGTCCGTGTTTAAAAAGTTTTCCAGGCGTGTATAAGCATTACCTCAGTGATGTGATACATAGATTATCACCCCCAATCTGGGAACCCACATATGGGGGAAATCCGAGAAATTGGAGTTCCTTCCCTCTTGAATGTAAAGTGGGAGAGTAGACCATTGTTGCGTTTCTTTAACTCATCCTTCTTCCTTAAAGTGTTGAATTCAGACTCTGGAAAAGCCAAGATTTCAGGTACAGATCATTCTGGCCTCACCGATCATTCCACTGCCCTGTCCTAGAGACTGTTTTGACCATGACCTCAAAAGGTTAGGTATGTTTTTAGATATTCTTAATTATCTTTGATACTAGCCCTCTCTGGTTTAGGAATCTGTGGTTTCCCACACCCTCCCCCCCCACTGGCTTGCTGTTTGAGTGTCCAGTACTCCACTGGAGGTTTCTAGCCATTTCAGAGGGGTCCTGGACTAAGGGGCTTTGGGCCTAGCTCAGGGTGCCTCTGGGGATGCTGTTCTTATTATTTCAACCACATCTGGTTACATGGGCTATTAATTTGTTACTTTGGTGGGGAAAGGATTCCAAATTCTGGACCTACCTTCAAGAGAGATTTAAAATGTGAGCTGTTTCCAAGTGGAATGCATGTTATGGATCTTTTCATCCATAAGTTTATCTAAATCCTTTGTATGTAATAGCAGATTATACATCTTGTTGGAGAAACAAGCTACAAACATTAAGTGCCTTACATGTAGTCTAAATCGTTATCGTTTAAGCACAAGGGCTATCCTCTGTCTGGCATTATTTTGCTAAACTCCCCCAGTTAGCTTATGTATACCCAAGACCCAGGTTCCTGAACAGGAAACCTGCAGACCTGGATTCTTATTGCAGCTTGGTTGTTAACAACTTTCTCGGCTTTGCTTTGGGCACGTCACTTTATGTCTTTGAATCCCAAGTTTCTCATTTATGAAACTAAGGGTTAAGGTTCCTTTAGCTTTGAAATTCTCTGTTTCAGGACCGTATTGAAATGAGATAATCAATTTTATTCTGCTAATCTAGATTAAGTATTTAATATATACATCTTTCCGACCCCAAGGTAAGTTTGTTTGCCTAATTATTTTATTTTATAGCTTGTAAAGACGTCTTTTTTTGAGACGCAGGACCCAAAATCCCACATCATGTTCCTGTTAGAGACCCAGGTTCTTTGTGTCTAAAACCCCATTTTAAAAACCCAGTCCTAGAGAAACTGAAAATTAAATTTTGGTGCTACAGGAAACATTTAAGCCCTTTCATTTAGTGTCTGAAATTATAACGAAATTCATGTGCGAAAATGTCTCTCTCTGTTCACAAACCAGGCGTTACTTCATTTTAACTCCGAGACAATGTACATAGCTCTTGGCCTGGTCCATGGAGAAGTTGAAGACAGGTATTTTTTTGATGCAGTTTTAATTTTTGTTCATGCAGAGGTAGCCCCAGACAAATCACAGGTCATCTAGCAAACCTACTAGGTCACCATTTCTGCTGTCGAAAGCTGTCAGATTTATTCGTTGTGCTAGTAGATTAAAAGACATTGGTCCTGTGTGAGGACTGACCTCTTCTGCTTCGCTCAGTGCTGTACCAGTGCTAGGATAGTGCTGTGCACATAGTGGGCACTCGGTGAATGTTCTCGATTGAATAAATATATGGATTGTGTTTCCACTTTCTTCCAGTTTCTTTCCAAACTATGGAAAACTTGGCAATTTGCTGAGTCAAAGTATCACTCTGAAAAGAATTCCAGAATCCACTGTTTTTTTTTTTTTTTGGAGAGGTTTTCGCTATAGGGTGCGTGCGCTCGCCAGACAGACAGAGACATAGAGACAGAAAGCGAGAAATCACCCCCCAGGGGGGATGGTCACGCCGCAATCCCTTCTCCTCCATTCTCCTCTCGGGATCTTGGGCACGCACGCACACGTGCCCGGCGTGAGATTTAAGCCACCGGGTCCGAGACGCGAACCGCGGTCGACTACGTGGGAGTCCAGCGACATAGCCATTACGCTAACTGCTGGTTCCCAAGAATCCACTGGTTTTGAAATACAGAAATATATCGTGGGTTGTCAGAAAAGTCATGACACATTTTTTGCATTGAAAAAAATACGTCATGACTTTTCTGATGACCCAACAGTGAACAATGATATTGATACTGTTTCCCATTTGAGAATTACAGGCTAGGAGGGGTGGCAAGGACTTTAAGGTCATTCATTCTAACTCCTTCATTTCACAAAGAACCTGAGGCTGACCTGACCTCTGCAGTGCCATCCAGTGATTTAGCAGCAGACTCACAGTGGGGAAAGAAAAAGGAAAAAAGATCTAATTCCCAGCCCAGTACTTTAGGACACGTGTAACCCATAGTACCTTTCAGCAGGTGTGGGATTTGAATGCAAGTGGGGCTAGATAGTGCCTTTGAAAAATCATTTTATAGTTTAGGAATTTTTTTTTTTAAGTTTAGGAAATTAAAGTACCACCTCTATAAAGCCTTTGTGTCTACTCTTTTCCATTGCTTCTTTTTTTTTTTTTTTTTAAAATTTTTTTTTTTTTTTTTTAAGAATTATTTTATTGAACTTTATTTATTTATTTCAATTTGACCAGAGAGGGACAAGAGAGAGAGAGAGAGAGAGGTCCAGGACTTGAACCACTGTCAGGCATGTGGGAGTCCAGCACCCTTAACCACCCCACCACCTGCCGGCCCCCCACTGCTTCCTTAGATAGCATAGGAATGTGATAAAGAAGTGGATTTGGAGTAGGCATGAGTGGTACTTCAGCCAATTGCTTAAAATCATCCTAAACTTCCTTCTGTAGAGACTAGAGGGAGCGTAAATACGGGGATTAGGATTTCAGGTGATACATCTATACGTAAAACTCAAACAAGAAATGAGAAGGTTTGAGTTTAAGGATTGCAATTGTTGGGCCAGCCTGTGGTTAAGGCAGCTGAATCTCACGTGTCTGACTGCACGGTTTGAGTCCTAGACCCTGTGACTTAAGAAATTTGCTGGGGCATGAATGCATGCATGCCCCAAATCCTGAGAAGAAAACGGAACAATGGAGAATGGGGGATTGCAGAGTGGTCATCTCCGGGGGGGTGATTTTTTCACTTTCTCTCCCTCCAGCAAGCACACATTCTCTGTCGCAAAAAAAAAAAAAAGATTGCAGTTGTTTTAAACACGATTGTACGTATAAACTGAAAATGCTGTTTACATTCAAGTGCTCATGATTATTATTTTTAATCCAGTAATCTCCTCTACCCAGTATATATTTGCTATTAGATGACTGAAGCCGTCCTGCAGAAAGCAAACTCCTTTCACTTCTGTTGGATATAGCATTATGAAATGATACCTATCTCCATTTCATTTTCTTTTTTTTTTTTTTTTTTTGGAGAAGTTTTTACTGTAGGGCACATGCGCTCGCCAGAGAGACAGAAAGCGAGAAATCACCCCCCAGGGGGGATGGCCTTGCTGCAATCCCTTCTCCTCCATTCTCCTCTCAGGATCTTGGGCATACATACACACACGTGCCCGGCATGAGTTTAAGCCACTGGGTCTGGGACTCGACTACATGGGAGTCCAGTGACATAGCCTTTACGTAACGGCTGGTCCCTCCATTTCCTTTTATAAACTGCAAGTTCTTTCATTTATTCACCAGATATTTATTGTTTATCTTCAACCCTAGGGATAAGGTGGTGAATGTGACCAAGTTGACTATAATAATATTATCATTAGTCATAGCAAAATATATATGGTGCTTATTCTGTGCCAGGCACAGGTCTGGGTTCTTTTTACATATTAACTCTCTTTTTCTAAAAAAAAATTATTTAATTTAATTTATTCATTTATTTTAATTTGACCAGAGAGAGACATGGAGTGAGAGAGAGAGGGAAAGTGAGAAAGCAAGCCACCAAGTCTGGGACTTGAACCACGGTTGGCCATGTGGGAGTGTCCAGCTCTTTCACCACCCCACCACCTACTGGTCCCCCATATTAGCTCTTAAAAATGCCCAGGGTCTCTGGGCACACAGTACTGACTGGGGGTTAGAGCCAATAGTCAGTAAAGCCATGCCTAGGAATCTGAAGGATGATGGTTCCAGAGCCTCCTACAGATACATCTGGATAGTCAGATTTCTTATATAAAATGGCATGACATTTACATATAACCTGTGCATTTCCTCCCATATGCTTTAAGTCATCTCTAGATTCCTTGTAATATCTTCTCTAGATTCCTTATAAATTTATAATACCTTATACAATGCCTTCACATCACTTTTTGTGTGGATTCAGCACAGTACTTGGCACATGGCAAATTCAAGTTTTGCTTTTTGGAACTTTCTAGAACTTTTTTTCACATATGTTTGATCTAGTTGGTTGAATCTGCCCATGCAGGATTCACGAGTAAGGAGCCAGCCATGCTACTTGATGCACTACTCAGTGTTACATCCCCAGCTCCCTTCATGACTCCAGCCTTGTGCTAAAATTCCCTCTGCCTAAGATGCCTGTCTGGTCTGTCCCACAGACTGAATTTGTATTCACCCCTGAAACCCAGCACAGGTCACTCAGCTCTGTAAAGTCTGTCTTGAGCTCCCTACTCCATC